GAGAGAGAGAGAGAGAGAGAGAGAGAGAGAGAGAGAGAGAGAGAGAGAGAGAGAGAGAGAGGGAGGCATGGAAGAGGGTTGGGCCTTCAGCTATAGTTTGATTGTCTATGTTTTGTATTAGACTAGGGTTCATGCGATTTGTGTTAATTTTGGTGTTTTCTTTTTTCACCGTTTGGGTAATATTTGTCGTAATTTGTTGTGATTCTTGTGTAGCGTTTTGCATTCGATGGAATGAAAGAGAGAGTGCCGCTCTGTAGAAATGCCATAATGGTGGGCGGTGGGGTTTCCTTGTGAGAAGGTGGAGATTAGTGGAAGTGGTTTTCCCTAAATCGCGAGGAGGTGGGTGGTTTTGCGGGGTCTTTGACCCCTGCCGTGCGGGAGGTAGGGCATTACCGCTGAGACGTTGAATTTGGGTCAGGTATTCATTTCATCTTAATAGGCTGGTGTCTGCTGTCATCTGAATTCGTGAGGTAGAATGGTGAGCATTGCTCCACTGGGGCTTCGTCATGGAGGGCGGGGAAGCATCCGTAGGGGGTGTATGCAGATTGAGGGAGAGGCTTACCCTAAATCGCGAGGAGGTGGGTGGGTTTTGCGGGGCTTTTTGGCCCCTGCTGCGTAATCCCCTGGTTAGTGAAAACAGCATCAGTGTGGGGAGGTGCTATCTGCTCTGAATCGCAAGGAGGTGGGTGGGTATTGCGGGTCTCTGTCAGCAGTTTGGGGCCTGCGGGCACAGACCCCTGCCGCGCGGGTGGCAGGGCGGATTGGCAGGGGTTGGTAATAACTCCGGATGAATAGTGGACGTGATCACGCAGCGATGACCACTGGTTTCCTTTCTGTGGTTTAGATTCGTTTTCTTCCGTAGTTTTCTTTTTGTGCATGATTTCTTCATGGTCGGTGAAAGTTGGGTTACTAAATTACGGTTGTCACGATTGTTGTGATTAGATTTTCTTGGTGATGAACTTAGATTTTGCTGACAATTTTCGTTGATTTTTCAGTGGTAGGGGCTGTGGAGTTGGTTGTGGAATTGGCTGTGGGGTGAAATCTAGTGGTGCCCTCGAGAGTTGGTTGTGGACTTGGCTGTGGGGTGAAATCTAGTGGTGCCCTCGATGTGCTTGGCCGGTGATGCCTTGCCCGCTGACGGGCCCGCCTAATTTTGTGAGGGAGGCCGGGCCCGGTTCCTGGCTTTTATAAAGACGAGCATTCAAAAAAAAAAAAAACCCATAAAGACTGCTTTGATTCTGAATTTAATATCTATTCATCTGGGTGGAATCGGGGCTGTTGTGGGGAAAATCTAAAACACACACGCACACGCACACACACACGCACACGCCCACACCCACGCCCACGCACACACACCCGCCCACCCACACACACACACAGACACGCCCACACCCACAGCCACACACACACACACACACGCGCGCACGCGCGCATCCACCCACCCACACACACACACACACACACACACACACACACACACACACACACACACACACACACACACACACACAC